TGCTAGAGGTTTTGATCTCTATGGTTTGAACTGCATTAGAGGATGATGACTAACCTGGTTTCTCAAAGCGGAGTTTTTAAAGGAAGTTAAGAAAATGTATTTAACTTTTAACTAAAAAAACTAAAAACTGGTTCTTAAATAAGGACTTTAAGAACCGGTTCTTAATATTTTTAGTTAAAAGTTAAAATACATTTTCTTAGTTTCCGTTAAGAATATATCATAAGAATCCCGGATTAATCATAGTCCTAGGGTTCAATCTAGATATATTACTAATGGTCTCTCATAAAAAAGGTTCCTAGATTTTTGTTAGTAATAGTGGAGATAAAGCACTTAATGCTTTCTACTTCAGGCCGTGAGTTCTGAGACATTGATGTTGTTTTCGAGCTGATGGAATCAGATCTTCACGAGTTGTCAAAGCCAACGATGATCTTACACCTACGCATTACCAAGTTTTTCCTGTACCAGCTCCTCCTCGCCTGAAGTTTATTCACACGGACAACTGCAAGTGCCTTGGCTACTGTTACTCTAACCATCTACTCAACCGAATTCAAAACTTGAGTTTGACTTTGAAAGAAAAAAGATAGTGAAAGAAGACGTCAGCGAATTGATCTATAGAGAGGTACACACTTATGTCATACCTTTTTTCTTTTTTTGGTTTTCTTGGACTGGCTATGCCTGAACCATGGAAAAATGTATTGTCCCCCCCCCCACACACACCTTATTCCTATCTAATTGTAGTTCTTACAAAAACTTGAATGTGAAACAAGGCAGATATTAGAGTATCATCCTCAGATGCTGCAAGAATATTTTTGAGGTGGAGAATGTGTACCAAGGTGCATTATAAAACTTACAAGCATTTTTTTAAAAAAGTTACTACAAATGATGACAAGTAAGATAAATATTTTTGTAATCCAAACGAAATGTAGTGGTGTTGTAAAAAAGGTTACTACAAATTATGGCTTGCCTCAAAAGATCGCAGCTCTCCAACTTGATTGTGATATTGCTTATTGGGGAATGAAGCTTCTTGCTAACAATAGACGGATGATTCATATACACATCTCTCAGAAAAGAAAAAAACAAGAAGAGATGGTACGTGTCTCTGTTTCTGTACCTTTGAGACATTTACAAACTAATCTTTGTTAGATACTGAGAGACATGAGTTCTGAACAACCAATCTTAAATCTTCATTGTCTTCAAGTTTCCCAGTGATTCGAGTTGTGTTACTTGAATAAAAATTATGGTTGTTTGTTTGCCTGACCCTAACATATATATGTATTATATATATATGTTATGCGTATGTATAATGATCATCACTTCATCCTCCAATGATAGAGAAACATTTTCGGTCGTCCCAATTGCTTTCGATTAATTTGTTCTCTTTGCGGTTTAATTATCGATTTAGCGCTTGTGGGAATACTGTTAGGAACAAAATTTCTAAGCTACACGAAGTTTACACTAATATACTAATATGGTGGAAACCATCCAATATATAAAAATGTGTCAAGAACTACACGAAATATATGTTAATACATGCCACATGTACGAAGTAAATGATATTATGGTGGCAACATCACAATCGGATTTAATTATTAAATTTAATAAAATTAATAAACTTAATATTTTTTGTTAAACTTAATAAATTTATTAAACTTAATAAAATTATTAAACTTAAGAAAATTATTAAACTTAATAAAATTATTAAACTTCATAAACTTAATAAACTTAACAAACTTAATAACTTATAAACTTAATAAGTTATTAAACTTAATACACTTAACAAACTTAATAAACTTAATGATTTATTAAGTTTAATACATCTTATTAAGTTTAATAAATCTTATTAAGTTTATAAAGTTTATTAAATTATTTTGTTTATTAGTTTTAGGCTTCTAGCTTATTAAACATAATAATTTTTAAAAACTTAATAAACTTAATAAGATTTATTAAACTTAATAAGATGTATTAAACTTAATAAATCATTAAGTTTATTAAGTTTGTTAAGTATATTAAGTTTAATAACTTATTAAGTTTATAAGTTATTAAGTTTGTTAAGTTTATTAAGTTTGTTAAGTTATTAAGTTTGTTAGGTTTATTAAGTTTAACAAAAAATATTAAGTTTATTAAGTTTTAAAAAATATTATGTTTATTAAGTTTATTAATTTTATTAACTTTAATAATTAAAATCAATTAAGTTTATTAAGTTTCATAAATTACGGATTGACCCCATTAACTTAGCTTAAGAACAATTAAATCCGATTGTGATGTTGCCACCATAATATCATTTACTTCGTACATGTGGCATGTATTAACATATANATAAATTACGGATTGACCCCATTAACTTAGCTTAAGAACAATTAAATCCGATTGTGATGTTGCCACCATAATATCATTTACTTCGTACATGTGGCATGTATTAACATATACTTCGTGTAGTTCTTGACACATTTTTATACATTGGATGGTTTCCACCATATTAGTGTAAACTTCGTGTAGCTGAGAAACTTTTTTCCATACTGTTACTTGCTTTACATGTATCATAAAGAAGACTGTAATCAAGATGATTAAGCAGACAGTAATTAATCAAGGTGATTACTTGCCTAAAGTAAGCGTAACAAATCAATTAAGTAGACAACTAGTAGTAGTTGGAGTAGGTGGCTGTAGACTAGTAGACAGAGTAGACATGCATCATTCAACATTTGTCACATGCATCATTCAACATTATATGCCATTGTCTACAATTCAGTGATATGAATGCAGTCTCCATACACTTTACATCCTTTTGTGTATTTTAGATTCTTACTTTAATCAAACCAGTTTTGAACACATAATCAAGCAAGTCAGCAAAAAACACAGACATAATTAAGCAGTAACCAGATAAAAAATCTCCGAGAATGATTTATTAACCAAATCAAAATTGTCTTGGATAAAACCAAAAGGGTAGATTCAATAATACAAATTTAGCTTTAAGAGAAAAAAAAAGAGAGAATAAGAAAAATCAGTTAAACTTAGCGTTAGAGAAGTTCATCTCAGGATGCTGAGACATAAACTTCTTCATCATATCTTGCTTCTCAATCTCATCACTCGTTGGGAGTCCCATCTGCTTCTGCCTCTGATCAAACATCATCTTCTCAACGCTGCTTCGAGTTTCCGGGTCTAAATCAGACAGTTTGCTGCTCTCTGGCTCAACCTTCTGAGTGTCAATCTCAGGCTCCCCTTTCACGCAATACTTCCACCACTGCATCTGGTCCTGCTTTGTCAAGAGCACCGATATGACCTTTTGATCCTCTATGTTCCAGAAGCAGTCGTCAGGCTTCACAGCACTGAAGAATTCTCCATCGATGATGAGATCTTGCCCTTTGAGACCAACTTTAAGACGGTTCTTCTTGATTTCACATGTGACTGAACGTGACTTCGTGCCGCTAGGAACTGGAATGGTGATTGTGACCTCCTGAAGATTCTGTGTCCATGAGTACGTCTCAAAGTCGAGCCCGTTGCCTTTGTTAGGAACTGCACAAAACAGAACATCAAGTTAGTTTACAGTTAATATCTAATCTTTCTCCAAAACCCTAATTCATATAAGGACTTACTGATGGGACGTGGTTTCTGTTCCTCTTCCTTCTTAGGTTTATCCACCTCCATTGGTTCCGTGGGCTTCAAGCTTTCCTTCTTTTGCACACTCTCCTTCGCCGGTTTCTTCTCAATAGGCTTCAGGGGCTCCTCGGCTTCGGCTTCCCTCAACCTCTTCTTAGCTGACGTCAGAGCAGTGGACACTTCCTTCTCGGCCGAGTCTTTCAACAGAAAGTCGCTCTCTTTCCCCATAAAGTCAAGAACTTCCTCCAAAAACACTAGAGGGTTTGAAGGATCGAGACTTGCCTTGAACGGCACTGATGGTCTCTCCTCTTGCATCTCAGAGATAATGGCCATTGGTTATCGAAAAGCTATTAGGAGTTCCTTGCTGATAAATATCCGAATGAAATTTTTGTAGTCGACAATGAAACAGAGAGGTGAGTATTTATAGGGAGAAGTATAAACGCAAAAAAGGAAGTTCGAGAAAAAGCAGAGAGTAAAGTTTTCCAAAATTCATTACTTTCCTTTATTCATAATATATTTTTCTATTTATCATTCAATTTAATAATATGGAAATTTGCAATTCCCTAAAAATAATTATACAGTTTATGACACTCTAATTGATTTAGAAGATTAAGATTTGTTTCTAGAAAAAAGGAATAAGATTCGTGTATTTCTATATTATCCTATTTTTATTTGAAATAATATTTTTAATATTTGCGTGAAAATCCTATTGACACTTGACAGAAAACAAAATTTGTTGAAATCTGTTGACAAGAAAAAGAAATAAGGGGTATTAATAGGAATTGAATTTATAATAATTCTTAGAATTTGTGTTATTGGTTTATAGATTCTCACATTCTTATTAAAATTTAGTGTTATTAGTTTGATGACTCTATAATTCTATACAAAATCATTTGTTATTCAAAAAATTTAGATTTTTTTGATTCTATAAATCTATTAAACTAAATGTTATTGGAAGTTGGATTCTTAATATTTAACTCACAAAACAAGATTTTTAAAATATTACATGTTTTTCTTGGATTTTTAAAATCATTACGTTAATTTATTTTCATAGATTTTAAAATATACAAAATTGTTTATAACTCTTTCCAAATTTTTTAAAAATCTCAATTTTTAAAATCAACAAACTCTATAAGAATCTAAGTCCCACTAACACCCCATAAGATTTGATATGCTACATGATAATCTATATATATAAAGGAGAGTTTGCCTCCCTCCTGCCTATGCCATGTCAGAAAATACCTCTCCAGCGAACTGACAATTGTTTGAGTTGAATGGGCCTCGCGTTTTAATTTGTTTGGGCCTCAGTTTTTACAACCACGGCTCGTGTGTTTGTGTGTCTTCTCTCCCGAAGATAGGGTTCTGTTCCTTCTACGCGCAGAGCAGCCGCCATTGATACACCACTCATCTCCTCACTTTCATCGTCGATTTCGTTTCCTTTTCAGATGTTACTGATAGCTTCGAGAATTAAACACACCCCCACGATCTATAATCAATTCCCTCTGATCTGATTATAGTCGGTGGTGGAGATGTTTATATATATAGAGGTTATTCCTTCCCATTCTCAGCATCATTCCCGTTCTTTTCTCACTAATCTAAATAGTTTTCAGTGTTAATGGCTATGTCTAGGGTTTTTTTCTCCGATCTGAAATCTGGACGTTGCTCCTCCACCGTCGAGGTCCGCCTCCTCCGGTTCTGGGAGGCCCAGAATCCACGCCGTGGAGGCGAATTGATGTGGATAGATTTGTTGATGGTCGATGTTAATGTATGTGTTCTGTCTTAAATACAGTCAAACATCATTCCAACAGCATCTGTTTTAATCTCTGATGATTTTTATTAATTCTTTTCCAGGCCACCATGATGCGCGCTACCATCAATGCCAGCCGTGTTCTGTCCTAAGCCAGGAGTAAGTAATTTTACTAATATCAGTATCTTAACTCATGTTCATATTAATTTATAAATTGTTTGTTGATTATGCTTCTTTCTCAATGTGATCATGTTTGTATCTTCTCATCATTTCACCTTATATCTAAAGCTTCATCTCAAATTCTTCTCTTCACATTATTCACTATTCACAAATAAACGCAGCGGAGATTGGCTTCCAAATCTCTGAAATCTTCCGGCAACCTCACTCCTGGCTTGGGGAGTCGGAGCTGTGCAATGAATTTTCCTGGCTTGCAGAGAAGGTTGGAGGTGGTGATGATGATGGTTCTTTCGTCAACTGAAGAAGAAGGTAACACGTTCAATATTTTCTTCAGAGTTCTGGAGGAGAACCGTGTGACTGAAGCAGAAATGAACTTGCTTGATTTGTAAGTGATGTGTTCTCTGGTGATACTAGGTGCTGAAGTTGGAGACATGTATATTATTCCTAAAGTCTACGCTCTATTAACTATGATGAGTTGATGTCGTATACATATGTTCCTTTTACTATTATATCTCATGAGTCATGTATAATCTGACTTTTTGTGATGCAAGAAGTTCTAGGGCTCCTTCTGCAGGGTGTAGTTGCTGCTAAGCTTTCTGCTCAGCTCTTACCTTGGTCATATGTTGTAGGATATTTGTATATCTTCCTCCATTCATCAAGAAACAGGTTCAATTTTTTCAACATTAGACTTCTCTTTGTTTTACACCTAAGCAAAAAATATGGATGCTTAAATGATGCTCTTCTTTGTTGTTGCAGCTACTTCTCCATCCTCAGCCTAATGATGCTGCTCAGCTATCCCAAGTAAGAAGAAAATGTGGGAACTAATATGTTTAAAAAAGGTTCTGTGAGAATAATGCAGGAGATGACAAGTCCCACATCAAATGGTACTTTAGAAGTTATAGAAAACAAGAAAACTGAATCAGTGCCGTAACGTTTTCATGGTGAGTCTAATGAAAGTTATTATAGCACGGTGGAGAAGTGGTTGTAGGGTCATGGTGACGGCGGAGTCGAGTCGCTTGGAGGTGGTGTGGTCATGGCTTGGAGTTGATTGTTGTATGACTTAAAATAACACAGATCAGAGTAGAGGAGAGAAGGGAAGAAAACAAAGGTAAAGAAGAGAAGGAAGAAGATAGTTTCAAGATAGGTTTTTGCCTGTGCATTTTTGATATCTGCCAAGCTACAAAGGACAGATTATTAGTAGTTTGGTTACATTTACTTATAAGTTACTTTTTGGTTCTAACTGCGTCGTCATTCACTATTAGTCTTCTCGACTAGATTATTTGATAGTGATGTAGAACTAAAATAAAAGTTCTGTTAGATATCTAACTTTATTAATTTATTAATGTATTATTTGTAAAAATATTTTAAATTATTATGCGACCAAATTTCTACAGATAATTTTAACTTTTTCATTAGGATTTGAGAATCTATTTTAACTCTTTGTTTTTGTTCAAGTAAAAGTTGGACTCCAAGAACCAGTATTTTGATAAGTATAATAAAAAACTAAAAGCAAAAAGGTTTACAGGACCGTGGTTTTGTTGTTTTAAAGAGTAACATTATTGGAATAAATTTTTACTCCGTCCATACATTTACAAATAATACCTTTGGATTTAAAGGTATTTATGTCTTATGGTATTGGTGCTCCACATGTCAATGAAATCAATAAAGCTTTTACCACCAATAGAAATTGAGTTTGTTTATTATTGTTCCTCAATTTTGATACCACGATCAAACAGAAGACTATACAATTTTGACTATTAATTAAACAATCATTATAGCCTTTCGTCAAATCATCACACACAAACCGACTGGTGGATATAATTTGTTACTCAAAATTGTAAACCAATGCTTCGGAGTAAACAATCCGGCCATTGCATTATATAATATAAACACAACCCAATTTAACCAGTCATTACATCCTGTTTTGGTGTCAGGGTCTGAGTAAATAGGGTGTGATCGCCCCGGAGCTCATACCAATTTTTTTTTTAACGAAAATTTATGTTTAAATTACATATATAACATTACATTTAAAAAATCTAATTATACAAAATAATTTAACTCTTTACAAAGTTCAAACAAAAAAAAATATTTTTTTTATAATTTTCTTTGAAAAATATATTAATAGCTATAGGGTCCAAATAAAATTTTGCTCTAAAAATTTAATATATAAGATCTAAACTTTTTTTTTTTTGCACTAGGACCCATCAGAACCTTGAGCCGGTCATGTTTAGTGTCGTTTGTTTAATTGGTTATTGTCCATGGTATCATACTATTCAAAACCTGACCAAACAAATCCTATATAGCCCTTCAACAACAAGGCAACCAAAAATGTCACATACTCAAAATTATAGAATTTTCCTTCAAACTTATTAGTGTGCAATAATGATGACCTTCATTTTATTACTGAATACACCCTCAAAATACATTCAAACTAAAATATTTAACAATGAGAACTTCACCCTTTATTTGTAAACAACATAATCAATAGAAAACAAAACAATATTCTGCCAAACAATGATTTTACAATGTGTTCATATGCATAGTTATCGCCCTCTACATATTGTCATGTCATTAATTCGAGATCCCTGGACCATAATACTCTGTGTTTCGTTTAATTCAGAGCGTCTATAATCTTAAAGCCACAATTAGGATCTCAAAACTGTTCAGTTCAGATCGATTAGAAAAGTCAATGTAGAAAATTAAATTAAAAATATTTACTTAATCAATATAAGAATTATTATTAGAGAAAAATAAATCATTTTAACCTTGAATATATGATCAATTCTTTTTAAAAAATAAACAACATAAAAACCATTTGAAACCCTGAAAATATATCAATACCATAAACTTTTAATGTGGAAATAACTATTATAAACAAGTAAAATATATCTCATCACATATAATCTCTCTTTAGCTACAATTTTCTAGAAGATAAAAAATCATTCTCATATACATTTCTTAGAAATGCAAATAAAATACAAACTACAAAATCATATAAAAATAATAACTTAGATCACACTTAAAGTATATCCTGCCCGTAGGGCGGGCCAACCCTAATATCATAATACAATACTTCCAATTAAATGAGAAAGTGAGATTGTTGCCAAAAAAAATGAGATAGTGGGATTTTCCGAATCTTTATGTGAAAATAAGAATCAAACTAGATTTCGACCCGCACAACCGTGCGGGTATTTTAATACAAAAATATTTCAAATTATATAATAAAATATATCAATAAATAAGTATAATTTCGTTCTGTATGCTATCCAATTTTATAATAATTTTTATGTGACTTATAATATTATTAATATAAAATTGATAAATTTGTATTTTTGTAACAATGTTTAAAAACATTATTATGTAAGATTACTAATTTATATATTTTGTTTTATTTTTAAATTTGAAATCTATGTAAAAATTAATTAAGTTAGACTTACATAATACATAAAAAAATCTGGGATATAGTTAAAAGTATTTTATATAATTTTAATTGTTTGTTTATAAATTAAAAATGAATTAAAAATTTAATTATATTTTATGATAATTAAAATTTTAATCAAATAATTTTTGAAGCTATATCTTGAAAAAGATTCTAAAAGATTTTTAAAAGATTTTGTTAGAATTTTATTAAAACTATTTATTTGTATTTCAAATAAAAATTAAAGATATGAAAAGATATTATAATGTTATGTAAAATTTTATAAAACTTTAAAGATAGTCCAAACTAAAATATCATACATGAAGTGAGTCATGACTTCTCTTTTAATATAATAGACTAGATTTCGACCCGCACAACCGTACGGGTATTTTAATACGAAAATATTTAAAGTTATATAATAAAATTTATCAATAAATAAGTATAATTTGATTATGTATACTATCCAATTTTATAATGATTTTTATGTGACTTCTATTATTATTAATATAAAATTTAGAAATTTGTATTTTTGTAACAGTTTTTATAAACATTATTATGTAACATTACTAATTTATATATTTTGTTTTATTTCTAAATTTGAAATATATGTAAAAACTAAATTAAGTTGGACCTACATAATATATAAAAAAAATTTAGGGATATTGTTAAAATTATTTTACATAATTTTCAATTTTTGTGTATAAATAAAAAATGAATTAAAATTTTAATTATATTTTATGATAATTAAAATTTTAATCAAATAGTTTTGAAATTATATCTTGAAAAGATTCTAAAAGATTTTTAAAAGATTTTGTTATAATTTTCTTAAAACTATTTATTTTTATTTCAAACAAAAATTAAAGAAATGAAAAGATTTTATAATGTTATGTAAAATTTTATAAAATTCTAAAGATGGTCCAAACTAAAATATCACACATAAAGTGAGTAATGACTTCTCTTTTAATATAATAGATATATTTTTAGATAATTATCTGATTAAGTAATTAATTAATTAATCAACCAACCTTATTAATAAACAATACTAATCAATCTCCATCATCACTATTATAAGTGTGAATACCAACATTGATCCTCTCCAGATCTTAGTCACATCCTGATCTTCTCCCTCACTAACCTCTCAACTCATGTTTCTTTTTCTCCTCCTCCTCTCTACTTCCCGCTCCGGCGAATCTTCGCCGCCGGGAGACGCCACCGGTGAGCTTAACAGAAAAAGTTTTCCAGAGGGGTTCGTGTTCGGAACCGCCACGTCAGCATATCAGGTCGAAGGAGAGACGTACCAAGACGGTCGTGGTCCAAGCATATGGGATGCCTTTGTCAAGCTTCCTGGTTAATAATCATCATTATCATATTTTAATTACCATTTCACTTAATTGATTAATATTTAAACAGTTTTTTGTTTGGACACTGAAAAATAAAAACAGGCAAGATTGCAAACAATGCCACGGCTGAGTTGACAGTGGACCAGTATCACCGTTACAAGGTAGGTACCACTTATTGTTAATCTTATGTATTTTCAGTCTAATCATAAGTTTGTTCAATATTCATGATAAAAATGATAAATACAATATCAGGAAGATGTAGATTTGATGATGTCACTGAACTTCGATGCCTACAGATTCTCCATCTCGTGGTCCAGAATATTCCCTGGTACACTAATGTGTCATATTTATAAAGTACTTACATTGTTTATACTATACTAGAGGTTAAGATTGATTTTATTATAACTTCAAGCTTCTGAACACAGATGGAACCGGTAAGGTCAACTGGAATGGAGTTGCTTATTATACCAGACTGATTGATTATTTGGTCCAAAAAGGTATATACTCATATAACACATTCATATACAGTTGACATTGTTATTATTTTATTATTTTTGTCTCTTGAGTATACGTTAATGCTTAGGGATTACACCGTATGCGAATCTATACCACTATGATCTTCCTCTGGCTTTGGAGCAGAAGTATAAAGGCTTGCTTGGTAGACAAGTTGTGTAAGCACCACTCTGTTAACTATCTTCTCTTCTCTAGTCTCTAATGCAAAACCAAAAAGTTCGATCTAATGAGGAACCTACAGGGAGGATTTTGCGGATTACGCAGAGTTTTGTTTCAAGACATTTGGAGATAGAGTGAAGAACTGGATGACATTCAACGAGCCACGAGTAGTAGCTGCTTTAGGTTATGATAACGGTATTTTCGCACCAGCTAGATGCTCTAAAGCCTTTGGAAACTGCACCGAAGGAGACTCTGCCACTGAACCTTACCTCGTTGCACATCACCTTATCTTGGCACATGCATCAGCCGTCCAAAGATACCGCCAACATTACCAGGAGAAACAAAAGGGAAGGATTGGTATTCTTCTTGATTTCGTTTGGTTCGAGCCACTTACCAGTAGTGAAGCAGACAATGACGCTGCTCAGAGATCAAGAGACTTCCATCTCGGATGGTAATGGTTCAAGCTTTTGGACGTGTTAAAGTTTGGTGAGCTTATACATATCATCCTTTAATGGGTTTTTTTTTTCAAAGGTTCATTCACCCTATAGTATATGGAGAGTACCCGAAGACAATGCAGGACATAGTGAAAGAGAGGCTTCCAAAATTCACCGAGGAGGAAGTGAAATTGGTGAAAGGTTCCATAGATTTTGTGGGAATAAACCAATACACGACTTATTACATGTCCGCTCCACATCTCACAACCGAACCTAAGGATATGGGTTATCAACAAGATTGGAACGTCGTTTTTAACTGTAAGTTCTTATTCATATACATTCGTCCTTATGAGATTGCATTGTGACAATTAATATGTAGCATTACTGAGAAACCTCAATGTCTTGACATGCAGTTGCAAAGGATGGGAAACCAATTGGTCCAAGAGTGAGTAATGTTTTTTCATTTGATTTTTCTTAAGTCTCGTTAACTACTTAGTGTTTGCTTATGAATTAATCTAATTTTATTTAGGCACATTCGGGATGGTTATACAACGTACCATGGGGACTGTACAAGGCCATGATGTACGTTAAGGAACATTATGGCAACCCTACTATGATTCTCTCTGAAAATGGTATTAACAATAAAACCCTCAATATCTTTATTTGTTATATTTTCCCAAGATTTATAGCAATGTGGAGTTTTAGATTTGTATATAATCTTTATAGGTATGGATGATGCGGGCGACATTACGCAAGCTCAAGGAGTTAATGACACAACAAGAATCACGTATTATAGAGACTACTTAACTCAGCTTAAAAAGGCTGTAGACGATGGAGCCAATGTAACTGGATATTTTGCGTGGTCATTGCTTGATAATTTCGAATGGTTATCTGGATATACTTCAAGGTGCAGAAGTTAACTTATGAATGTACATTGTGTATGTGGTTATTTTCTAAGCTAATGCTTATGTTTTTGTCTAGGTTTGGGATTGTGTACGTTGATTACAAGGACTTGAAGCGATACCCCAAGATGTCTGCTTTATGGTTTAGACGTTTTTTGAAACGGGACCAGTTATGAGATCAATGTGTCCATGATTTGGATATATGTGTTCTTTATTTGACTTTCCAACGCTAATAAAATTTTCATCAGCAAGAAGTTGTGTCCTTGTATATATGTAACCTTCAATAATGTGTATACACTGGTATATTCTCATCATCATCATCCTCAAGATTACATGTACCATGGTAATAACAAAAAGTTAATCTAAAATGCATGATGATCAATTTTCGTTGTTGTTTGGTTCTTTATCATGTTTATTGTAGAAACATGTGTCTTGTAAGTTGTAGAAGGATTTTTTTACCAAAAAAATATTGTAGAAGGAATCTTCATAGACTTGGACTATCCACGTTAATAGATTAGATTAGATGCTACGTTGCTTTTGAGACCGAATAATGCAATGAAATCATTCCCCTACGACAGTATAAAAAACCTATAGCACGACTATTTACATCACATGGTATCTAGTTTATATTTTCACATTTTTAACCTTAAATAACGTTCTTTGAAATTTGTGGCTTTGTGCGCATAGAATCAAAAGCAGATGTAGTTTATTTTTATTTAACGTTGGTGTTGTCCTTATTCTCATCTCACTCGCAGTTAGAGTTATTGCTTTGGAGAGTGTTATAGGAAGAAGACGTTTTCACGTGACGATTTGTGGGGGGAATGGTCCAGTCCTGCCTGCCTATGGATCCACGAGGACTTTTAACTTATTGAATTAAGATGTGACTGCTTTCCCTTGTCGGCTTCTCTGCGTCCACGTTTTCGGCTTTGGTCCTTTACGATTCGCGTGATGACTTTTCTCAAACTGTGGGCCGGACACGATGTCTCAATCCTTTTTTATTCAGACTTGGTTTATAGCTTCTAAGGGATTTCATTATGCCTTGATGATTATATTATATACACTGGTAAGGAATGGACATAATAGAGTCGATATCACGGACAAATCAAAGTGAGACATTGATCTTGAACCTCCACATTTAAAAAAAAAAATCCTTAATTGTTATCTTTGGCATCCAAAATTTAAGAATCAATATATACATAGCTTGGACATTCGACACATGCGCTCATATGAAGTTATGCATAAACTTAACGGATTATAATTTACAAGATCCAGAAATGTCTTGGGGAAAGAATAAAAGAATATACAGTAGTCATGAATCGCTCTGTAATATAGTATTTGCAAACAATGAAAGAATATAAAAATCAAATCCTCGATTGCAAATATGATTCCCATTTGATCCGCAGCACGATAAAAACAAACCATGTCATGAATACTAAGTACTATATCCTTTATACGTACTTTCAAAATGTTATTATATATTGAAATTGATAATCACGTAAAACGTGTCTAGAACTGTAACTCCTCTGGTTTTTCCGCCTACTTGCTCTGTTTTCAGTTGCATTGCTCTGTTTCTTGTTTTATTTATAACAAACCGAATTTGAGTTTTGTTATATATTTAATTCCTGTTTTCGTAAATATTTTTTCTTGGAGAATAAATTTTAATTTTACAAAAATTATGATTAACATTTGGCATGATTAACATTTTGCCAAATGTTTTTTTGAAAAAAAAAGTTAAATCCGGATCTATTAAAGACACATACCTAACCCCATATAAAACTACAGCCCACGGATGTACCATCTTCTATACATTCAAATGAGTCGAAAGCAATAATTCATATCCGCGTGATTACATATGAAGCTAATTATTTCGGGTTAGAGGGGAATCGGATTCCTAACCTGGACCAACAGGATAATTCCTCTCGTAGTGGAAATCATTAGACCAACATCATGTGGTTAAAAATAATAAAAAGTTCTGATTTGCATTTACAACTTACTTGTTTATCTAAAATCTTTTACCAAAATTTTCTTTGACCAAGGATATCTTACCAAATTTTCAAGATTTGTATACAAAGCTGTTTTATACATACTAGTACTGTCATAAGAGATCCAACCTTCAAAAATATTAAATATATAAAATATTTTCAAGATTTGCTTGCAAAGCTGTATCATTCTTTTTGGTCTAGAAATCTGAAATTGGTGAACATCCACTATTTTTTTTTCATTTTATCCATCTTCCTAGTCAAACTTACTGTTTTATACATAATAGTACTGTCATATGAGATCCAACCTTCAAAAATATTACATATATAAATAAAACCAATAAATATGTTTTAATTATTATTTTTAAATATCAAACTATAGTCTTATCCAAATGCTGATAGTCACTCAATTCCATCCTCTCATATTTTATGCAATCATTGTATTATTATTTACAAAATAAAAGACTTAGAAAGACCCTATAAATATCCTTGCTGACACCCAAGTTGTATCCTCCTCAAACTAAGAGTCAGAACTCACTCACCACCATGAGACACCTCATTGCACCTCCGTGGCCTCTCCTTCTCCTCCTCCTCTCCTTTTTCCTCTCCGGCGAATCTTCACCTTCCGTAGAGAACATTAAACTCGACACCGGCGGTCTCAGTAGACAGAGTTTTCCAAAGGACTTCTTGTTCGGAACCGCCACATCAGCTTATCAGGTCGAAGGCGAAACTCATCAAGATGGTCGTGGCCCAAGCATATGGGATGCCTTCGTCAAGATTCCTGGTAAACTACATTTCACACATATTTTTCTTGTTTGTTATATAATATCAACCACTGACTAATTTAATAATGATATAAACAAAACTAAATAGGGACTATCGCCAAGAATGCCACGGCTGAGTTGACAGTAGATCAATATCACCGTTACAAGGTACTTAATAAAGATTCAAATATATTGTTAACTGAATCATTATAAGTATGTATTTTTTGTTTATTTACATGTGTTCATGATAATCACATTTCAGGAAGATGTGGATTTAATGAAGAAACTGAATTTCGATGCCTATAGATTTTCCATTTCATGGTCTAGAATATTCCCTGGTATTCCTACATAATATATACTAGTAATCATATATGGTTTACATTCTATATCAAGATTCATATATAACTTCAAGCTTTACCAATGCAGAGGGAACAGGTAAAATAAACTGGAAAGGAGTTGCTTATTACAACAGATTGATCGATTACTTGGTCCAAAAAGGTAACACATTCATATAAACAATTGATTTTGATTACAAAATATAATATAACGAATAATATAATTGAATGGTTAGGGATTACACCGTATGCTAATTTATACCACTACGATCTTCCTCTGGCATTGGAAAAGAAGTATAAAGGCTTGCTTGGTAGACAAGTTGTGTAAGCACCATCCTCCAACTATATATACACATACACTTCTTGGTCCCAGTTGAAATTAATAACCGGATTAAAGAATGTAAATTTTGATTGATGCAAATTTTCAGGAATGATTTTGCGGATTACGCAGAGTTTTGTTTCAATCTATTTGGAGATAGAGTGAAAAACTGGATGACGTTTAATGAACCGCGTGTAGTAGCTGCTTTAGGTTATGATAATGGTATATTCGCACCGGGAAGATGCTCTAAAACATATGGAAACTGCACACAAGGGAACTCAGCTACTGAGCCATACATTGTTTCCCATCACCTTATCTTGGCCCACGCAGCAGCAGCTCAAAGATACCGCAAATATTACCAAGTAAACAACAACTTATAAGTGGATTTTCTTGGTGTGATTAAACCTATATGACTCTTTTTGTCACACTAATTACTGAGTACTCTTTTTTTTTGTGTGAATTTCAGGAGAAACAAAAGGGAAGAATTGGAATTCTTCTAGATTTCGTTTGGTACGAGCCGCTTACCAGAAGTAAAGCAGATAATCTTGCAGCTCAAAGAGCAAGAGACTTCCATATTGGATGGTAAATGTTCAAAACATTAATACATCTAGACACTCATGTTTTTACAAATTACATTTTCTTTTAGAGGGCTTACAGGTATACTCATTTTGGTAATGTTTGAAGGTTTATTCACCCAATAGTGTACGGAGAGTACCCAAAGACAATGCAGAACATCGTGAAAGATAGGCTTCCAAAATTTACAAAGGAAGAGGTGAAAATGGTGAAAGGTTCCATAGATTTTGTGGGGATAAACCAATACACAACTTATTTCATGTCAGATACTCATAACTCCACCGTACCTAAGGAGTTGGGTTACCAACAAGATTGGAATGCTACTTTCGGGTGTAAGTTCTTGGAACATTCCATATGAATATTATCAGTAGATTCTTTTATTTACAATTCTATTTTCGTTTATACACTTGCAGTTGCAAAGTTGGGGAAACCAATCGGTCCAAGGGTGAGCGTTACATGGCTTTTGATGTTTTTACCTTTAATTGATTAGTTGTGTAAATTAAATATATATCCATTTACGATAGGCGTACTCGTATTGGTTATACAACGTACCATGGGGAATGTACAAAGCCTTGATGTACATGAAGGAACGTTACGGCAACCCAACTATGATTCTCTCTGAAAATGGTATTGAATACACAACAATCTCTAGTCATACTTTTCTTTACTTTGTTATATTTTATAAAAGCGTATAGAAATACTGAAGTTTAATAAACGTTTGAATATATCTTATAGGTATGGATGATCCAGGCAATGTTACCCTAGCTCAAGGACTACACGACACAACGAGAATCAAGTATTATAAAGATTACTTAACTCAACTTAAGAAAGCTGTGGATGATGGAGCCAATGTGAAAGGATATTTCGCGTGGTCATTGCTTGATAATTTCGAATGGTTGTCAGGATATACTTCAAGGTAAGCTAGTTAAGTTAACTCAATATATGCTGATGTATGTTGTTTCGGAGGATGGAAGTATTGTTTTATGTATTTTTTTTTCTTTATTGTATAGGTTTGGAATCGTCTATGTTGATTACAAGACTTTGAAGAGGTACCCCAAGATGTCTGCACAATGGTTTAAGCAACTTCTGAAACGAAACAAGAATTGATCACAAATGTGTTCATGGATGCATTTAGATTGTAAGGTTTGGAATTGAATGTTTGAAGAGTTTATGGGTCGTTTTGGTCAGTTTGTTGTCTATTATAAGGAGTGAATTGTACCTTGAACTATCTCCTTTGACATTTCAACGCAAATAAAAAAGGTTCAAGTTAACAATAAATTCGCATTTTGGAACTCTTGCACCTTTCAAAAATTGGCTCATATGGAGTATATTTCATTTTTATGTTATATTATGTATTATATTTTGTCTCATTTCATTTTATTTGTTTTCCAAGTTTTTAATTGAGTGTTATATTTATTTGAAAATTTATGACCTCTTTGTGTATTATGCAACAAGTGTTGTATTTGGTTGATTAAAAATGTAAATATCTCTCTGGTTTTTAAGCCGACGTTGGTCATTCTCTTTTAGTTGTTCAACGAACAAAACACATTGCCATTTTATTGTGACACAGACGTTGAAATGAAGGATGGAGACGAGTTAGTAATATCCCGCTAAGATTGAAGCAATTCGAAGATCACGAATGTTTTTTATAGACAAAGTCGTGACATTTCATAGGAGTGATGTTAAGCCGTAGATAAACATTTGAACTGTTCTTTCTTTCTGAAATTAAACAAAAATTGCCAAAATAGATGTCTGCGAGGGATTTATAGATAAAATACAACTTTAAAACGTTCCAGCCTAGAAAAATTGGAGAAAATTAAAGACTAGAGAACACTCATCACTCATGTGTCTAATAACGACCAATACCCCAAACCCTGACAACTCCATCAGTGTAGCCACTGAACAATGTGCTTCCATCTGCACTCCAGTTCAAGCTTGTGCAATAATTCACCTGCATTTTTCCATTCATACACATTTTTTAGGTTAATCCCATTACAAAACATCATTCAAAAGTCAAGACATAACTAAAGAGTTTCATGGAAAATGGTTCCTTTAATCTACTAAAAGCAACTCCTAACCAAAACTTCAATTTTTTTTTTGTCATAATTAAGATTCCAACGACACATACCTTCTTCTGGTTCCCAGTTCCAACACCACCATCACACTTCTCAGCCTCAGCCTTAAGATCAACCTTCAACTCATCAACAACACTCTTACTCTCAAGATCCCAAATCTTTATACTACTCTCCGTCGCCGCACACAACCAATACCTATTTGGACTAAAACAAACCGAGTGAACAATCGAACCACCTTCAAGCGAATACAACTTCTTCCCCTCCGCCAAATCCCACAACAAAATCACCCCATCTTTCCCGCCACTCGCACACAAAGAACCATCAGGCGAAACCGCCACCGTATTAACATACCCCGAATGTCCAGCAAGAGAGCTCTTCAGCTTACAATTCCCAAGATTCCACACCTTCACAGTCTTATCCCACGACGCCAAAACAACGGTCGGCTCAACGGTGTTGGGACTAAACCTAACGCAACTAATCCAATCCTTATGTCCATCAGACTCTGCGATCGTATACTTACACTCACCAAGCGTATTCCAAAGCTTAATCGTACGGTCACGAGAGGCAGAAACGATCTGACGGTTATCCAGGGCTGGAGCTGAGATTTTGGGGGCTTTAAACATTTCTTAAGAACTCTAAAAATTTTGGGAGCCAAGGTCAATGTTTAGGGGCTTATTCCTAGTTAATTTTTTCTAAAAATTTTGGGGGCCAAGGCGAATGTTTCGATCGGCTGTGTCTAAATCCGGCCCTGCGGTTATCGACCGAGAAGGCGACAAAGAGGACGTCTTTGGTGTGTCTGACGAATCTACGGGTGGAGAGGCCCGTGGATAAGTCCCAGAGACGGAGCTCTCCGTCCCAGGATCCGGAGAGAGCGAATTGGCCGTCGGAGGAGAGGACGACGTCTTCGACGAAGTGAGAGTGGCCTGCGAGACGGCGCTGTACGATGCCGTATGATTTTGAGTCTTTGGTGAGTTTCCAGAGGATGATTGATTTGTCGCGGGAGGATGTTACGATGATGTCAGAGTTGTCGATCGGTGTGGCTATAGCGGTTACCATGTCGGTGTGGGCGCGTAATGTGCCTTTTAGGATGAGTCCCTCGGCCATTGTTAGGGTTTGGGGGAGAGACTCTTAGGGTTTCTTTCTTGTTTTTGATCAGGAAATGGTCTAAGGGGGGGAGGAGTGAAGTGGAGGTATTTATAGTTAGGGTTTATGTGCGGATTTGAAAGAGGAGAACTAATTAATGGGCTGGTGTTGGACGACATGGGCCTTTTATGTTTTTGTTTGAGATCGTTTTTGTCTTAGTGGGCTGAATTTGTATAGGTCCATCATAGAAACGGCCGACGGGAGCTCATGATCGGAGCATATGAACATTATAAAAAATTTATAAGATGAACAAATACACAATATTAACTTAAAGTTTTTTTTTTTTTGTAACTTAAAGTTATATATATATTCTTTTAAATACGACTGTGGTGTGCACCAGCACTGCATCATTCAGGAAAAAGCAAAAGCAAACAGTAACACCACAAAAAAAAAAAAAAAAAACAGTAACACCACATTGTAAATAAAATTAAAGGAAAAATTAACAGGTTAGGGGATATTGGAATTAACGTCAAAGAGACGTATGTACACGAGGATTGCAAGCTGCTGCTAGATGACACTTATCTCAATAGGTTGGGCAGGTGTCACTCGTGAGAACACCTGCTTTCTTCTCACAGTAATTTAATTTAGTGCTAGGTTTGCGGATCAAATCCGTCCTTCCCAACCTATTTACCACGGTTTGAGTCATTATTTTATTTAAAAATTTAATCTGCATAACTAATACCTGTAAATTATTAGAGCTGCACCTGCACCACCGCACGACCTGCAAGATTTGCACATAATATTTCCGATGCTCTTGAGGTTGTTGTCAGTCCATATAGACGAAATGGTAGGCCGGTTAGGTGGATCCAGAAAGAGATTGATTATCCAGTGGAAAATCTTTATCAACAATAGGTACTCAACGAACCAAATCTATTATATTTCGTAAGGCTGCAAAAAAGAATGATATAAGCGTTTCTATATGAACTTATATAGATTTTTTGTTTGTTTGTAGAAGTTTAATATTATTATTTAGATGTTGATAATTCTCATCAAATTCTTTTTTTAGTTAAGTCCGTTCCGTTGAAGATAAACGGACAAACTTTTGAGGGTCAACAGAATTAACAAGCTGATTTCTATCAAAAGAAATAATGCCAGCTGAATTAGGTTACATAGAGTGGATTCATGTTTTCTTTATTTTTATTTGTAAGAATCATACTCCTTTAGAGGCACCAATTAAATGTTTGAAAACGACAACAGAGAATAAAAAAGTGAAAAAGTGGGTTAGGTATTATCTGGTCGACAGCTGAGAACGTTTCAATGGGAAAAATTATGAGAATATTTGCTCACAAATTCTTTTAGGACATTTAGTTAGAGAAATATACTTACTGAATTAATTATAATGATCATATTGTCTTTCTATCCCTCTCCTCTTAGACTTAGGCATGTCAGCTTACAAGTTTATCTTTTTTTCTAACTCTCTCTCTTTTTCTCTCTCGTTGTTTTCTTCATCTCCTCTTTTAATTATCCCTTTTACATGAATTACATGTAAAATAAATATGTTAAATATTTTTTTATTTTGAATTCACTTTGATTCTTAAATAATAAATTTAAATTTTAAATTTATTCAATATGATTGGAAAACACAAAATTCAATGATATTTATTTGTTAACAGCTAATACATAACACCTCTATTAAGATATATAATTTTCATAAATATCTAACACTTCTTTTAACACCTCTATACGTATACTTATTAACAACTAACACCCATGTTAACAACTAACATTCATATTAACATCTGGAACATGTATTTGTTAACAGCTAAAACATCTATTAGCATCTACATTATTTGTTAACCGTTAACAACTTTGTTAACTATCGACACTAGTGATTATTAACAGAGACATTAACTATTAATAAATTTTGTGTATGTTAACAGATGTGTTAACTGTTAACAAATACATGTAATATCGAATTTATAGTAAATTATAAATTTATGTTGAAATTTTGCAATTAATTATAATTTATGTTTTTAATTATATCAAATGTTAAATTATTTTATCTATTATAATGTTTTTATATTATACATTCAAAAATATTATTATTTGATAATATTTTTAGCATTTAAGAAAATCTATCAACACATGTAAATAACATGTCTCTCTCCTCTCTCCTGACATTTCTCTGCTAACAGCAAAAACTTTTCAATTAAAGAAAGATATTTTGGACATTTTAAGGCGTAATTGTATGGTTTGAACCATTAATGTCCCATCATGGACAAACCACTAATATTGCAAATAAGGATATTTGACTAAATCTCTCAAAAATTATTCTAAACGTCCTTAATATATAGTCCTTCTTCCTCAGTGCTCTGTATAATGGCATCTTGAACAACTATGTGTGGCTGTGAGCCTTGTGTCTTCGTAAGTCTATTGATTAATTTATATAAAAGATATTCGAAGTAAGAAGAAAAAGGGACTTGAGCACTATAATATATGGTCGTGAACCTCGTGTGCTTGTAAGTATCTTTGATTAATTTATACAAAGACTATTCGAAATGGATTCTGATGCCATTAAAGATCTGACCAATCCTTTTAGAGTTGGTTCACCAATCTGATTTCAGAATAGGACATAAGTAGATGAAATGTCAGCATGATTAGGTAGTTTTGGGACTAAAGAATATCGTTACTAAATCATTGCACCAACATAATTATTCTGTATTTGCTTATATATATACAGCTTTTGATCTGCATCACACGCACACAAAATATCAAAGTCACTTCTGATTCCTCTTGTTATCTTCCATGGCTGGTTCAGTCTCGGGTGACACAGAAGCGCAGTGCGCTGGAAATACAAGCAGCAAGCGCGGTGGATGGATAACTTTTCCGTTCATGATGGGTTTGTGTTTTTTGTTGTTGTTGTTTCTTTGAAGGCAAGAGATATACATATGTTAATGTATTTTTATGTGGTGCAGCTACATTGTTAGGTATGTCCATAACTTCTTTCGGATGGGTAATGAACTTGATCGTCTTCTTGATCGAGGAATTCAACATCAAGAACATCGCTGCTGCTCAGATTTCAAACATAGTTAATGGATGCCTCAGCATGTTGCCTGTTGTAGCAGCCATTTTAGCTGATTCTTTTTTTGGAAACATCGTCGTAATCTCGGCCTCTACTTTTATCTCGCTGACTGTAAGTCCACTCATGACTGATTCTCTTCTATTTTCTTAATTTCTTTTTTTTTTCACATAGTTTAAGGAGTTTTAAACATTTTAGGCGTGTTACTACATGATAATAACGAAAAATATTAAGCTCACCATCTAATGAAAATATCATTACATACTCATTTCTCAGGCAAGAGTTTATGAATGAACTGTGTTTTCCCTGGACTGCTCAGAGCTTAGAAACGACCTCTGACAATTTTATTTATAGTAAAATGCACTGATCATCTATCAGAAACTCTATGTCTGAATCAATAAAAACGAGGATAAATGATTTATTGTGTAATTAGAAAACAGAGAAAAGATAATCTACATTTAAAATAAAAATTATTTTTCAAAATTAATAATAAAAAAATAAGTCCTCTTGTCATTTTGGTTTTATCATCAGATTATAGTTTGATTTTATTCAAACATTTTTCAGGGCATTTTTCTCCTGACTGTGATCGCATCTTTGGACTTGTTAAAACCTAGACCGTGTGAAACCGGATCAATCCTATGCCAGTCTCCATCTGAACTTCAGCTTGGGATATTGTATACAGCCTTAGTTCTAGTAACCATTGGAGCAGGTGGGACACGGTTCACTTTGGCATCCGCGGGTGCAAACCAATACGAGAAACCTAAAGATCAAGGAAGCTTCTTCAACTGGTACTTCCTCACACTTTATGCTGGGGCTATCACCGGCGCAACAGCGATTGTATACACACAGGACAATGCTAGCTGGAAACTTGGGTTTGGCCTCTGCGCTGCTGCAAATATGGTCAGTTTCATTGTTTTTATCTGCGGGAAGAGACTCTACAAGCATGAGAAACCCATGGGAAGTCCTTTCAAAAGTCTGATCAGTGTTGTAGTCGCTGCTATAGTGAAAAGAAAAGCTGTGATTTCATCCAAAGAAGAAGACTATCACCAGGGACTCGTCTCCAAGACTTCTGCTGCATTGCCTTCCAATAGCTATAGGTCAGGATCGGATTTGGACCAAGCCCAACAAAACATTAGTTTTAATCCTTAATTTTTTTTTAATATTTTTGATATAGGTTTAGACCTCTATATTATTTAAAAAAAAATATTTTTTTTTAAAATGTTTATAACCCCTAAATTTTCAAATCCGGCCATGTATCTTATACCATCAGAACTGAAAGAAGTTTTTACATGTGCAGGTTCTTGAATCGTGCAGCCTTGAAAACCGAAGACGATTTAAACCACAAAGACATTTCAGTTAACAACACCTGGAGGCTATGTTCTGTTCAGGAAGTAGAAGATTTCAAAGCCATCCTCCGACTTGTTCCTCTGTGGATAGCCATAATATTCGTTAGTACTCCAATGGTGACGCAAACAAGCTTAATGGTACTCCAAGCTCTAGTCACGGACCGTGGGATTGGTCCTCACTTCAAAGTCCCGGCTGGGTCCCTCCAAGTCATAGTAATGACCTCTGCATCCGCATTTATCATAATCAACAACTGGCTTGTCTATCCCACGTACCAGAAGCTAACCCATAAGCGGCTAACACCGCTTCAAAAAGTAGGGATAGGCCAGGTGCTCACCATCTTTAGCATGGTGATCTCTGCGGTTGTGGAAGCAAAGAGGCTGAAAACAGTTGAAGGAAACAACAGACACGCCATGTCAGTGATGTGGCTGTTTCCTCCTCTGGTTATAGTGGGAATAGGCGAGGCCTTTCAGTTTCCGGGGAATATTGAATTGTTCTATAGAGAGTTTCCAGAGTCTCTGAGGAACACCGCGACGTCATTGACCTCGCTGGTGATTGGAATCTCTTTCTATCTGAGCACAGCTATGATAGATCTGATCCAAAGGACCACCATGTGGTTACCAAATGATATTAACAGCGGGAGAGTTGATAATGTTTATTGGGTTTTAGTCGTTGGAGGAGTCTTGAATTTCGGATATTTTCTCGTCTGCACTTGGTTCTATGAATACAGTAATCTCGAAGGTGACAATGAGCTAGACCCTAAAGATGTTTCAACCTAAGACACAGACAACATGTTTCTCTTTTTTGTAGCATGCTCTTGTTTACTTATGTGTCTGTTGTTTGCAATTTTAAGTGTGTTTTTGCTTAAACAAACCTTTAAATGTTGGTTATGTTCTTGGTTTTGACAAGTGCTGATTATCTTGCAACCAATTGCATGGCGAGTTTGATTTCCAAGAGTGCAGTGAAAGAAGTTCTTAAGGGGTACATTCCATTACCTAAATTATCTCCTTTGTTTGTCATCCTCGAAGGTTGATTCCCTGACTCAAATGCTAACAAGATCATTATACTATGTCGCACTGAGTTTACAAATGTAGTAGACATCTCCCTCAAGTCTTGTACTGTTGCGTTAGTAGAGGAGATGGAAACACAGACCGGTTTAGCCACAGGGATGAAACTGGCGAAGCTCTTACCACAGATTGACAAGACGGAGATTAGAGCCGTACCGGACAAGAACCGGTTCATGCAACTCATCCGAGATTTGCAGGGAAAATGGCCTATTAGTACCTGAACTATGGTCATATTGTCTGATCAATACCTAAACTATTTTACTGTGCAAATTTGTATCTGATCTAATACAAATTTTGAATTTAGTACCTGAACTATGGTTATATTGTCTGATCAATACTCAAACTATTTCACTGTGCGAATTTGTACCTGATCTAATAAAATTTTTAAATTTGGTACCTGAACTTATAAGAACTGATTTTTACATACTTGCGACTGACAACATGTCGGTATTCTGTAGAGGTGGACCGGTTTCTTGATGAGGTGACATTTTCTTTTATTAAAAATAAACAAAAAAGAGACAACTTGATTCGAACCCGGATCCCAAACATAAACATAATAATGACAATAACCGTTTATGATAGAAAAGATTCGTCGTTTTGTTATACTGAAACAAATATATAACCTTTGAGTGGTATCTCTGATCCCCACAACCATGTCCCAAATGATTCATTAAATCTTTTTTTTTAATCTCATTCATCAAATCTCATATAATCGTTTTTTGAATCTCGTTTCACCAAATCTCATCAAAAAAATTCATCAAAACAACGATTATTAATTACATGAGATTTGATGAATCATTTGAGACATGGTGGTGACAAACAACGATTATTTATATGAGATTTGATGAATAATTTGAGACATGGTGGTGATAAACAGAGACACCATTCAAAGGTCATTTGGATCTTATCTAGCATAAGCGGTTAGTGAAATTATTATGAATAAGTTCAGAAACGGGTTCGAACCAAGGTGCCTCACTTTAATTTGTTTTTAATTTTTTTTTTTTGAAGAAATGCCAACTCATCAAGAAACCGGTCTACATCAGCATTATATTGACACGTTATCAGTTGCAAGTATGTAAAAGTCGGTTTTTATAAGTTCAGGTAGCACATTCAAATTTTTTATTAGATCATGTACAAATTTACACAGTGAAATAGTTTGGTATTGATCAGACAATATAACCATAATTCAGGTACTAAATTCAAAATTTGTATTAGATTATGTACAAATTCGCACAGTGAAATAGTATGGGTATTGATCAGACAATATGACCATAGTTCAGGTACTAATCGGCCGTTTTCCCGAGATTTGCATGAAGTTCAACTCTTTTTTACTCTCTTATACTCAGATATGCCGCCACTGATTACAAACTGCCAAATTGGTTGTTTGTTCTTCAAAAGTGATTTCAACATTGTAAAATAAAATAGAAACGTTTTTAGAATAATATGTATCAAAACATTGCATAAAAAGTATATGAGTATTGATGATATTATAGTCCTGCAGATTTTTTGGAAAGAAAAGAATTAACATTGGCATAAAACTATATGATTCATTCATGATATTATAGTTTTGCAGATTTTTTTTTTAGAGAAAAGTATTGGCATGATTTGTCAAAAAAACATAAAATATTGGCATAAAGGTATAAACAGATCTTTAAATTTCTAGAGCCCAAAAAAGCCCAAGGCCCAATAATATCGGGTCGGGTAAACGAAACCGGTAACTACCACTGTACAACTTGTGTTTTCTTCGCTTGGATCTTCTTTTCTCTTGGGTAATGGCGACGAACAATGGAGACGTTTTGATGCTGGAGGCGGCGCCTGAGGCTACGAAGCCATGGGCGAGCGCGGCGAACGCAGAAGTTATCGATGCGCTTCCTTATATCGACGACGACTACGGCAATCCACTGATTAAGTCCGAGGTCGATCGCCTTGTTGAGGAAGAGATGCGTCGGAGCTCAAGGAAGCCTGCTGACTTTCTCAAGGACTTGCCTCCTCTCCCAAAGTTCGATTTCGAGGTTAATTTCAACTGTGAATCGATTTGAATCGAGTTGTTTGTTCGTTTTTTTTGGTAGCTAGGGTTTGGAAATTAGGGTTTAGAGTTGATTGGATGAAGTTTTAAAGTGAGATCAGATTGTTTTTACCGTCAAGAGTGTCAATCTCTGCTTAGTTTTGTTAGGGTTAAATTAAAATTAATAATTTATTAAAATTAATAAACCTAATAATTTATTAAAATTAATAAACTTAATAATTTATTAAATTTTTTAATAAATTTGATTTTGTTAATAAATTAGTAAAGTTAATAAGTTTATTAATAAATTTGATTTTATTAATAAACTTAATTGATTTTAATGAGTTGGGGTTAAGTTTAATAAATTACAGATTGATCCCATTTACTTAAATTAAAATCAATTAAATCCGATTGTGATGTCTCCACCATATAATCTTTTACTTTGTATATGTAGCATGTATTAACATAAACTTGGTGTAGTTGTTATAGATTGGATGGTTTTCACCATGAAAAACTTTTTCCCTAAATTAAATAATAAAGTGTTAGATAGTTTAGGTGATTTATCTAAATTTTAAATTAATCAACTAGAATCTTGAGATTTGGAAGGAAGATCATGAGTAGATTATCTTGTTAGATAGTTAGTTCTTGAGAAGTAGAAGAAGTGTTTATGATCTTGTAGTTTAGTATAAGAACTTGTTGATGAAGTGTCTCATGTTACTGATTGTTTTTTTCTTTGTCTTCTTTGGTTTGTGGAAAACGAATATTAGAACTGCCCTGTCCTTGGGAAAGAGTATGAGCGTGTTCGAGCTGGGAAGCCTCCAGTGAGGATCGATTTTGAGTCCCGGTACAAGCTTGAATTGCCGCCTGCTAGTAAGAAAAATGATGATGCTGCGTGGAAGCAGTATCTCCAGAAGAATCAACGGTCATTGCAACAGAAGATTATCGAGTAAGTAGAGTTTATTAATGTTTCTATCGCATGCTTCTCTTCTGAAAAGTTGTTGTTATATACTGCGTTACTCTCTTAACTCATGGATTTTGTTAATTCACAGGCTTGAGAATTTGGAAATGATGTCAAAGCATGGCCCTGAGCTTTGGAGACAGAACAACCATCGGCTAGAAGTATTCTTGACCAGGTTTGTTCAGTTACAGCATTGATTAAATTGTCATTCGTTACATTTTTACTTGTGATTAAAAGGGTTGAACCTCGGTGGTTGATTGATTGTATATTTTTCTTAGAAAGAATTCTTGATAACTTTGGATTTTGCACACATAAGATTTGCTTTGTGTTTTATCTTCATGTGATTTCTGTGTGACAGCTTCTTTGTTCTTATGAAACATAAGTGCTCTTCGTGCTCGTGTACTCTTACTTATTACTGTCTTTTGGAACTTAAAACACCAGCGAGATCTATCTCATCACTCTACTTGGTCTCTCTTTTCCAGAATGCAAAAACTAGCTCAGGAGCAGAACGAAGAAATTGAAAAAGTAAATCGTGAAAGGAAGTATCATCAGGTGACTATACTTTTGAAGTATTTTTAAACACGTTTCTTCCGTGCAACTCTTCTCATTTAGTTTATGGGGTAATCTGAAACTTTGTTTTGTGGCCACATCAGCAAACCACTGCGTACGAGCTCAACGCTCTATCTCAAGAGTGGAGACAACTCTGTGTGAAGAATATGGAGATTCAGTCTGCTTGTGCCGTGCTTGAGACACATATCGATTCGCTCAAAAGGGAAGCTGCTGAAAGGTGAAGAAAGTTTTGTCTTACCTCTTTGCATCACTCGAGAGTTGTATTTAAGCGCCAAACTGACACTTATCGTGTTTGTGTGTTTGCAGGGGATGGAACTTAGAAGAGAAACTAGAGAGTATCAACCCGCTTCAACCGCAGTGAGGCAACCGTGCTGGGCTTGTTTGCACTGCTCTTGCTTGCGTTTACTGATTTATTTAAGCATGCCGTTTACGATTTTGAAAGTCATGAAAACTTCATTATTGAGATGACTATAAAGATTTTGAAATTCATATAGAATTGAATACAATGCATTCTAGTTAATATTTGAAATCTAATTGAACAGTGCCATAGTTATATATACAGTTTATAAATATAAGATTTAACAATTGGATCTTAAAACATAATTTAGAATTATAAAAATAATAATAATAGCTGGTTTTATTTTTAAAGTTTTATAATTGACTAACTGAGTTAAGTATAAAATTAAGTATTGAATCCACAATTACTATATTTGACGTTTATGTAATTTAATGACTTATTCTATATATAGCAGCTTCCCAATTGCAAACAATAAGAAGAGTGCATGCATGACAGCATGAGTAGGCCTTGTTGAGACTTTTCAGACTTTTAAACGAAATACAATAAGCTTAATTCTCCTCAAATATCATTTTTAAAATTTATCACAAAAAAGCACCCAAAGAAGAAAATGACTAAAACAGATTTAACTTAAGAGGCAAAGACTTTTGTGTCTTGCTTTATAAATATATAAATAATAGATAAAATATAAAAATATATATTTTTGGATTATATGTTTTCAGATTCACATTTTTATCATTTTTTCGATTTGTTTTTTTTTTAATTTTCTTTTTGAAATTCGAAAATACTTTTGAATCTATTTTTCTAATTTTATTTTAAAATTTCAAATATTTATTTTCTGAATATTTCAAACCCTAACTTTTCGAAACCTCACTTTTTAACTCTAAAAAAAAAAAAATATAAGGTTAGTTAATCCTATGGGTATAAGAATATATTTTCTTTTCAATAAAATCTCTTATGATCATTTTTTCATTGAAAGTTTTTTTATGAAAATAAACTAAAAGAAGATATTCTAGATTTTTTTTCAATTTTCTCTTATATCCATTAGTACTATGTGTTATTTTTAACTAAATTAATGAATTGGAAAATCTTTCAAATATATGTATTGAAAATATAAAATAAGAGTTATAATGAAGCAAATTTTAAAGTCTACAACGACATACCACGGATGTGGCAGTCTAGTTGGTTTAAGTGCAGACACTGATGTTGTTGTGTTCCAGGGTCTGATCCACCGTGAGAGAAATGATTTACGCCACAAATGATATTAGCAAAAGTTGGATCTGGACCCAAACAAAATTAAGACAAAGATCCAAACTTTTTTGAAAACTAAAAGAAAAAACAAAAAAGTAAAAAAAAACCTACAACTATTTTTAAAATGAAATGGAAGCAGTATTTGATTTTAAGGTTAAAAATGTAATTTATGGCCATTAAGTATAAATAAATTACTACAACAGTTACTATTCAAAAAGAAAATTTCAATTCTACCAAATGTTTAATACCATTTTTCAATTTATCATTAATAAATGACTATTTTTACAAATATCTTAAATTTTGTGATAAAATAACACTAAATTAATTTTTTAAATATTTATAGAACATTTATAACTTAACTCCAATCCTTTAATAATAAACACTAAACAATAACCACTAAATTCTAAACCCAAATGTTAGCATATTTTTATTTCTAATGATTTCTCTTATTCATGATCACTGACCCAAGACCTTGATCAATATGTTAATCAAAAATTTGTAAGATACCTTTTTGGACCAGATCCTTGATTGAAATTTTGAAGGGGTGAAACCCACACCCAACATTTTCCTTCCTAATTAAATTTATATAAACTTTTTTATATAATAATTATTTTTTTTAATTTTTTTTAAAAAAATATATAACTATTAATGTGTAAAGAGAAGTAGTAAGAGTAACCCAGCAAAGAAGTAGAAGTCTGCATCTGCATCTGCATCAACTTTGTAGAATCATGAAGAAGCTTTCTACTTTGTTCATGGTTTCTTGTGTTCGCTCTTTTATCCTTCTCGTCCACGTGAAAGGTGATGTACATGTTAGTATTTTTTTTTTTTTTAACACTCTCATGGTTAGTATTTTTTTTCAACACTGTACATGTTAGTATTTATTTTAATATAATAAACGTTTCTACAATTGTAATTAAGCTCAGAACTGTTGCGCCTGATCAACTGTTTATTACACAGTAATCTAAAGAGCCTTTTGTTTCTATCTATGGTTGATACGAATTAATAGAGGTGAAAACTCTGGAGATAAAGGCGAAAGTGTGCACAAAGGCACAAGTTTTCGAACAGAATTGTGGGTAGGATGGAAACAAGACTTGCATAAAAGATTTCAATAAAATTCTTGAGTACCCTTTTCATTGCGAATGTGACATTTATGATGTAGCCGAAAGCAGACGTATTTGCATATGTAAAATCCCCAGTACTTCTTGCTAATTACTAATATAGTAGAAGAGAAAATATTTGTGTAAGGATTCCTAGTGTTAGCATCGCAGATAAATTAGATCGTGCCTGTTTAAATGTATCTTCAAATATACTTACGTTTTATGTCTGTAAAGATCATTACACTAATAAGTCTCCATTGTATTTTGTAAACAGTTCTTCAGCATTTGCAAATTGTCAAAAACATTATAGTTTTATTATTAATTCTTACAACCGATAGCACAACCAATACTTTAAATATATACATTTATATACATATTATATGTGTAACTACATAGTAATTCAATTCAATAGTACAATAATAAAAAAAGTATACTGGAAGGTGCACACGTACATCGTCATGCGACCCACCAAATAGACTATAAGACACAGAACTTGTTAGAATGTCCTTTTCCTACTTAACAACTCTCTTATAATTGCTATTATTATGATGATTCTTATCAGTTAATTAGTCATCACCTAACTATGCAAAGAACACAAAAATACAGATTTTTCTTAGAATTAAGATTACGATTGGGTGTTGATGACTTGAGGTAATCAAAACAAGTTTTGCATTGCTACTTATATGTTTTTGTATAAATGAAAATAAAAAAATATAATTGGTCCTCCTGGTTCCAGTAGTGAAACTCAAGTTATTGCCATATTAACAGAAGTAATCATTACTGAAACTTTTTGTTGCACCATATCACCAATGAGTTTATTTAGAACCAAGCTATAGGTTTTATTGGATGATGATACAAATTCAAAATTTTGACCAATCACATACTACATCAAAATCACAATCCACTTCTTATTATTTTCATCCTTTAATATTAGATTAGGGTTATGATAAGTATTCCCTTATTAGATGAATATACTTTACAATTGAATTAGATGGAGATATTTTTTAAAATGGAAAAATGTATCTCCATCATCTAATTGAAAGCTTGATAATTTTTCAGCTAAGTCTGTCTAATTAGATTGAGATACTTTACAACTTAATAAAACTATATGCATGAATTATTATATTGATTTAAATGAAATTCATAATGAGAGATTGTTGGAAAAAGTCTAAAGACAATCTAACAACCATGCTCAACATAAATCTAGAAAATTTTCACCAACTGTTAGTTGATTCATAGCTTTCAGGCCAAATTTGATTCTGCCTCCTTCGTTCATTGGTCTCGATGAAACAAAGACTAAACAATGAACAATCAATCATTTAGATTTTGGTTGTGTCATAACAGTCAACTACAAACTTTTTTTCATTTTAATTATTTTTGAACATGTCTAACGAAAACATAATGATTAATTGGATGATCTCGTCGTTTAAAGACTTGACAACATTTTACTCGCCGATTGAAGCATGTTCACCTTATACGAACGCACGAGGCTGTGATAGTGTTTATGGTTACGATTTACCATCGTATTGTAAGCAAAAAACAAAACACTTCATTCACAATTTCAAGTTTATTTACAAAGTAAAATGTATTAATATGTTTAATAAAATTAAAGAGTTCGAGACTTTCTAGTTTGTAAGTCGTTTTGTTTGGTGTTCATTTATTTATTTTCTAATAATTAACCCAAAACGAAGCTAAAAAGAAGAATCGTGTGGAACATTTGCTCACCAAGACTTCTTCTAACAACTGCATGCCCTCCAAATCCTCCCTCCAGTGCCGACAATCCCCATACTTATAAATTAATAAAAGTCTTATTCTTTTAATAAGACACTTATGTCACTTTTAAAATGTTTGATATTCAATACCTAAAACTTCTCTTCGTGATTCCTGCCTTAAGATCCCGACATTTACAGAAACAATCATTGAACACGAGTAACATTGTAAAACAAGTTCCTCTTATATACTTCATACAGTCTCCTCTCTCTTACATTCATTCATATCTCTCCAAAATAGCAGCTAAACTCAGCTTCAAGAATTTTCTTGCATAACAAGAAAGTATTAAAGCTTTGTCTTAACTCAAGAGACGAGAGAGATGACAGAGAAGGATCTTCTTTACGACACAATACTTGCTCGTAGCTTTAGCAGAAACGAGCAGAAGAGACTTGGCTATGGAGCTTTCATTGCCTCTCTTCTCTTCGTCTTCACTCTTTGCACTGTCTTTAAACCTTATCTCAGCCCTTTACCAATCGGTTAGTCTCTCACCAACTTTTTTGAAAAACAAGTAAGCACAGAAACTAACCTCTCTCTTTCTATTTCAGTGGAGTTGCAATTACCAGTGAACGCTGGTCTTAGGATTCTAAGAATAACAGAAACGCAGAAACCTCAAGCGTCAAGTAGCACCAACAATGCAACATCTGGAGATTTTGAGAATCTGGCTCTCTCTAATGATCAAATCAACATTACATTAAATGCAGCCACTCCTCAGAGCTTAACTAGTTCTAATGATCATGAGCTTAGTGTCTACAACGACACAAGCTTGCCCAAGGCCGAGAATCATATTGATTCGTTTAACTCTACTACTAACACAACAATCTCTAAAGAACAAGTTATTACAGGTTCACATTCTTAATACTTGTCTTAATAATTATAGTCTTAATCAGTATCTTTCTACTTATGAATCTGATTATTATTTTTTTTCTGTGAATTTTCAGAAGGAAATAAAATGGAGAAAACAATGAAACCTATATGTAAGAAGCTAGCAAGAACCGATATATGCGAATTAAACGGCGACGTAAGAGTCCACGGTAAATCCGCGACGATTCATGCAACAATCGCGTTTGCGTTTTCAGGAAACTCCACGTGGCAAATTCGACCATACGCGAGAAAAGGTGACGTGGCGGCGATGAATCAAGTGAGAGAATGGACTTTGAAACTGAAACAAAAAAACGTCGAGAACGCTAATTTCTCGCGTTGCGTTAGGAATCACAGCGTCCCGGCGATACTATTCTCTCTCGGAGGCTACTCGATGAACAACTTCCACGATTTCACCGACATCGTGATCCCTCTCTACACGACGGCGCGTAGATTCAACGGAGAGGTTCAATTCCTCGTAACGAACAAGAATCAGCCGTGGATCAACAAATTTAAAAATATATTAAAGAGTCTCTCGAACTATGAACTCATTTACATCGACGAAGAAAACGAAACGCAGTGTTTCAGCAGCGTAACCGTCGGTCTCAACCGTCACCGTGAGTATTACAAAGAGCTAACAATCGATTCCGATTCCGAGTATTCGATGTCCGATTTCAGAAGATTCCTTAGAGACACATACTCGCTGCGTAACGCCGCGGCGAGGCCCGTGATCACGAGGCGGAATCAACGGCGTAAGCCACGGATGCTGATTTTAGCGAGGGGGAGATCGCGAGCCTTCACGAACGCCGGCGCGATCGCTAGATCCGCGAGGCGAATCGGATTCAGAGTCGCGGTGGCGGAAGCGAACGCAGACGTCGCGAGTTTCGCACAGACGGTGAATTCGTGCGACGTTATGGTCGGCGTTCACGGCGCGGGGCTCACGAACATGGTGTTCTTGCCGGAGAACGCCGTCGTGATTCAGATTCTTCCGATCGGTGGATTCGAGTGGCTCGCGAAGACGGATTTCGAGGAGCCTTCGAAGGGGATGAGTCTGAGGTATTTGGAGTATAAGATCGCGGAGGAGGAGAGCACGCTTTTGCGGCGGTACGGACGCGATCATGAGATCGTGAGAGATCCTTCGGCGGTTGGGAAACGCGGGTGGGAGATGTTCCAGTCGGTTTATTTGGTGCAGCAGAATGTGAGTATTGATATAAACCGGTTTAAACCGGTTCTTGTCAAAGCTTTCGAGCTATTGCAGATGCAGGCGGTGTAAAAAAAAAAAAAAAAAAAAAAAAATATTTACTGCGTTTCGTAGAGTAAATTCTTGTAGTCGTATGGGAATATTTATCGTTTAATACGAAAATGTAATTTATCGATCTTATAAAAGCAAAGCCACGGTGTTTGGATTACTGTAGGATCCTCTTATGTTTGGATTTTGGCTTTTCCACTTTTGTACTTTTGAACAATCTATTGATTGATTTAGACCTTAAAAAGTAAATAAAAGCAAAACCATGTTGTTTTTTGCACAAACATGTTCGTATTTAACTATGTACGATTAATCAAATTCAATTGTATTTTGTCAAAAGGAATTATGTGCATGTAGTGTAACTTTTTCCATTTGTTTGATAGTGTAACTTTGTCAATTAGTTATTTACCTGATACCTACTATCAATAGTCAAAGGTTTGTTCTACAATTACATCATAGGCATGGATCATGATCACATGCACTTTATGTAAGCTCCAAGATTCTATGTTTAGAAGACATACGACAAAGACTCTTCATGCAAACGGGACTATTCGTGGCACCCTTGAGACTATGCAACATGAGTGTCAAATTCAAGGATTTCGCAAGCACGTAACTGTACAAACCTTCCACTTTCACTGTAAAAAATGATTAAAGGAATTGACAAGAAAAAAAAAACATTTGGATAAGCATCTAGTTGTGATAGTTTTCAACATTTTGTTATTTTCCAGTAAATCCAAAGTAATTGTCACTACTTACTTATGCAAACGAAAAGGTGATCTAATTAAATTTGGTAAAGCAGCATCAATCCATCCCTAATCTGGTGGTTAAATTCTACTTCGGTGTTGGTGGTTCGTCAAATAGTCATTTACAGCAAAGATATAAACCATCACCTTCTATAAAATCATTGAGACAAGGATTTATTCACAAAAGTCACTTCCACATGTATAATGGAACACGAGCTCCGACCCAAAAAACACTTACTTTCCGGTGAAATGGAAAAGCTACCGGTTTAAAGGGGTTGGTAAACAACATTTTGCTCGGCTTGGTTGATTTTATATACCGGAATAGTAGCTACATAACAGAAGTAATGTAAAACTAGGTGTTTTGCCCGCACTTGCGGGCATAATTCTCTTATGAATATTTATTAATTGATGTTTCATTAATTTAAAAATCAGTGTAGTAAATTGTTATTTATGTTTTCAAAAAGTAAAAGTCAAACATGAAATAGTTATCAATGACAAAACTCAAACATCATAAATATTTAAAATAATATATTTCTAGAACTATTTTTCTTGATTTATATTTAATTATAATATTTATATCTTAATTTTAAATTTTATATTAGAAAAACATACTTTCAAGATAACAATATAATGCATAAGTTATTTATTTTCTGAAAATATAATATGATGTTTTTTTAACTATATAATAATTATATAAGATTATAAAAATTATGACATATAATTAAAATTACCTAAAATCATTGAGAACTTAATGAATCATCAAATTCACTTCTTAAATAATTTTTATAGCGTGATGATTTATATATAATTAATACTCCACCCGTTTCACTTTAATTGTCATCATAGATTTTTGCACACAAATTAAGAAAACATTTAATTTTACATATTTTCAAGATAAAAACACATTTATCTATACACCTAACAACTTTTCATCCAATAGAAAAATAGAATATCATATAAAACTAATAAATTTTGTCTCGAAACTCTAAAACGACACTTATTTTGAAATAATTTTTTTTCTCTAGAATGACAACTATTTCGAAACGGAGGGAGTAATAGATAGTTTTATATTTTATTTTTAAATTGTACTAATATAAAAATATATTTTCAGGATAACAACATAATACATAAACTAAAAGTATATAATAACTACAACTTTTTATATCTTAATTTTTAAATTTCTAATAGAAAAATATAATTTCAAGACAACAACTTTATACAGAAGAAGTATCTTATTTTCTAAGAATCTGATACTATTAATATAAATTTGTTTTAAATATATAATAAATTTCATATAAAATTATATAAATTGATAAATTATCAAAATTACTTAAAATCATGGAAAATATGACAAATCAGCAAACATCAAATTCACTTCTTAAATAATATTATAGTTTTTTACATGTTAATTTTTAAATTTTATAATAGAAAAATATTTTTTTCAAGACAACAACATAATATATAAGAATTAATTATTTTCTGAAATATCATATTATTAATATAAATTAGTTTTAATTATATAATAAATAATAAACAAAATTATAGAAATTATGATAAATGATCAAAATTACCTAGGTTCATAGAGACAAATCAACAAATTCACTTTTCAAATAATTGTTTTGATGATTTATATTTAATTATGATTTATATTTAATTATTAATAATATAATTTTTATATCTTAATTTTAAGTTTTATAATAGGAAAATATATTTTCAACATAACAACATAATTCATAAGAATTATCTTATTTTAGAAAATATTAAATTATTAATATAAATTGGTTTTAGTTATATTTAAATATTAAATTATTAATATAATTTCTTTTTAGCTAAATATAATAGTGTTTATATCTTAATTTAAAATTTAATTTTTATATATAAAAATATATTTCAAGATAACAACATAATTCACAAGAATTATCTTATTTACTAAAAATATGATATATTCATATAAATTCGTTTTATTTATAAATAATATATATATATATATATATTAAAATATGATAAATAAATAAAATTACCTAAATTTATGGAGAACATGACAAATAAGCAAATTTACTTCTTAAATAATAGTATAGATTTGGAAGATCGAAGATCAATAATGGGCGTTTTTGGCTAACTACGGTTTACTCATGAAATTCGAAGAGGCCCATTTTAAAGAAGAATAGTTTTTTTTTTATAATACTGAGGAATGAACAAAGTTTGAGGGCAAACAATTTCCTATTTATGGTTTGATGAGAAGGTTAAGACTAGAACTGGCTGCGGTTTATAGGGAAGAAGAGATTTTTTGGAGACAAAAAAGTAGAGAAGAATGGTTAAGAGAAGGGGATAGAAATACCACATATTTTCATAATGTGGTGAAGGGGAAACGAATGAGAAATAAAATTTTGATGCTCAAAGATATCTTTGGTACTGAACATTACTCAGAAGGATCGAAAGGATATATTGCTACTGAATATTTCAGGGAGCTGTTTACAAGCTCCAATCCAATAGATTTGGAAACATTGTTTGATGGATTTGAAAGTAAAGTTACCTCAGAGATGAACACATTATTAATTAGGGAGGTATCCGCTGAGGAAATCAACGATGCTGCTTTTGGTATTAAAAGTAGCAGTGCACCTGGAGAAGATGGACTTACGGGTTTTTTCTATCAGAAATATTGGCACATTATTGGTCAGAAAATTATTCAGGATGTGCAAAGTTTTTTTAAAACTGCCATCATTCCTGCTGGGTGGAATCATACACAGTTATCTTTGTTGCCTAAAATTTTGTACCCTACAGAAATGAAGGATATGCGTCCAATAAGTTTGTGCAGTGTTCAATATAAAATCATTTCTCGTATTTTATGTGAGCGCATGAAGACGGTTTTGCCACATATAATTTCAGAAACTCAAGGGGCGTTTGTAGAGGGCAGGTTAATAACAGACAATGTCATTATAGCACACGAGCTGGTACATGCGCTTCGTACAAATGAAAAAATTGGTAAAGAATGTATGACCATCAAAACTGACATGTCAAAGGCTTATGATCGGGTGGAATGGAATTTCCTAGAAATTTTAATAGAAAAAATGGGATTCCACAGGAAATGGGTCGTCTGGTTAATGTCATGCATTACTACTATCACTTTCTCGGTTTTACTCAATGGACGTTCACATGGATTTATTAAACCAGAAAGAGGTATTCGGCAAGGGGATCCTTTATCTCCTTTTTTATTCATTTTATGTGCCGAAGCTTTAGTTCATGTTCTAAATAGATCGGAAGCACAAGGGAATTTACATGTATAAAACTTTCTACGGGCAGCCCTTTTGTCCACCATTTGTTGTTTGCGGATGATAGCTTATTGCTATGTGAAGCTTCTGTGAGTGATAGTAAAGAAATTATGAAGGGTCTAAAATGTTATGGGGATGCGTCTGGGCAAATGATTAACCCTTTGAAATCTTCCATCATTTTTGGGAAAAAAAGAGATAATGTTCATAAACAGATGATCAAAGAGGTCTTGGGTATAGAAAAAGAAGGTGGTGAAGGTTCATATCTTGGTCTTCCTAAATGCTTTCAAGGTTCAAAAAAGCCCTCCTAAATTTTATCAAGGATAAATTAGAAGGCCGGCTACAAGGATGGTATTCTAAAACCTTGTCAATGGGTGCCAAGGAAGTTCTAATAAAATCAGTGGCCTTAGCTTTACCGATATATGCAATGTCTGTTTTTAAGCTACCAAAAGATCTGTGTGAACGAATTACGAGTGCGATTATAGATTTTTGGTGGAGTAGTGGGGATAAAAAAAGAAAAATACTTTGGGTCTCTTGGGAAAAGCTTTGTAAACCTAAGGAACAAGGGGGTCTTGGGTTTCAGGATATTGGTCGTTTCAATCAGGCTTTGCTTGCGAAACAAGCTTGGCGAATATGGAATAATCCAGATTCTTTGGTCTCTCGAATCCTTAAAAGTAAATATTTTTAAAATGGAGATTTTCTAAACTGCGGAATGGGGACACGTCCATCTTATTCTTGGAGGAGCATCTTGCATGGAAGAGAATTACTTAAAAATGGTCTATATCGACATATTAGTACTTGATATTAGGAGTTTTTGAGGCTCCTAAGGCAAATGTTGTAGTGTAGATGATTGTCGAACCAGTTCTGAGGGATTTAAAAGCACAGAGAATACAAGTACTAGCTTAATATAAGTGCGATCATGTGATTGATTGGTTTTTAAGGTTAACTAAAACTAGAATGCAATAAAAGATATAACTTTGACAAAGAAGGTAAAGGAGAACTCATGGGTATA